TATGTATATACAGTATATATATATACATAGTATGAATTGTTGTTCAAGAAGGAGTAATTTATTTTGTTTTTTTACTGGAAGATTACTATTGTTTGAATTAATTATTTGAAAATAAAGGTGCAGACATGACAAGATTTTGTTTTGCTTCTGCTGCCTTTCATTTTATTTTTGATTGTATTCTTATTGTTTGTGGAATTGTTTTGTTTTGTTTTTAAGAAATGAATACATTTTATAAATAAAATAACTAAATAAAAAATAAAATAAAAAAGATCATGTATCAGAAGGTGATTACACAACTCCTATTTTGAAGTATTTTTCCACAGCCTGATATTTGACAAGAGGATAATAAAAGCCCTAGAGTCCAAGACTGACAGTGGTCCTTTTCTGGCCACCACATAAAACTTTGGGGGCAGCCCTGATCACAACATGTCTCTGCCATGTACACAGTGAACCACATGGATCAAGTCGTGTCCTTCTTCAAGCGCCCTTCTCTTTGATCCATTAACACCTATGGATTTCTGCTGCCTGATCTGCTGTTGGTTGTGTCTGTGCTCAAATTAAAGAGCTACACGCGAGTTAAAAGGACTCAGCTTTGGAATGCTGCTGTAAACATAAAGTGTATTAAAACACACAGCCTTAATGTTTCATCGCCATCTCAGCAGGACTGATCTTCTTAGCTCACTCTCTGCTAATCAGCATAAAATCTTTGGAGCTTTAATCTACGGGCCCCCTCCAGCACCAGCACGCCTCCCACCCCATCTCATTAGATTACCAAAATAACTGGCACGTATGAACGCACACACACACACACACACACACACATACACACACCATGACCTCAATTTGATTCAAGCCCCAAAAAAGTGGTTAATTATCATAAAGGGTGCATCATTTTGACACTAAATACATTTGTTTTTTTGAGTCATTTCAGATTATTTTTTGTGTTTTAACATGTTCTTTGATAGTGCGCATTCATAAATTTCCTAAACGTGTCCGTCTGCGTGCGTCTGTGTGTACAGCAAACATATGCAACCAAAATTAAAGCCGTAAAGCTGGCGAATTGAAGAGGATTTCATGCAGAGGCCTATTCATGGGAATTAAGCAAATTAGGCTTCCAATTAGCTCCTGAATAGGAAGATTTGCAAGCAAAAATTAATTAGCTGGATCTGTCATTGCTCTAATGAACACCAAGTGCTGCGAATAACACCTGCTCTTGATGTGTTTTTATCCCTCTGACATATTGTTGGTCTATCCACAGTTTAATTTAATGTCAAACACTACCTTATTCAAATATTCGATCATTTGCAAATAAGAAGCCCACATGAGCTGAGACAAACAAACTTTACAAAAGTCAATGTATGATCTAATCCTCCCAGGCTGCACAACTGTGGATGTAAATGCCAACCTTTTCAAGTCAGAGAGGAATTTCATTATCGATGTGAGTCAGACAGGTAAAAACTAATATGATTCTTTTTAGAGGCCGTTTTTTTTATTTTTTTATTGTGGTTTTTAATATAAACTTTAAGCACTGGTCAGTTTTGGGATTTTTGTATTTTTTTCCCCTAGAGCATGTCTTATTCATAATACAATTTTAGCAGGTAAATAGAGTTTTATTAACAATGTAAGGAGGTTTATTAATATGTTGAAGCTGTTTTAAAAACAGTTAACTCCAGCCACAGAGCCAGAAATGCTCACATCTATAACACTCACACTGACACAATTTATCGTTTGTAATTACAACTATATTCAGTAGTTTCTAATCCAAACCCAAATTAAAGTATTGAATATATTTGGAAATTAAAAAAAAAAACAGAGATATCTTGCATTCCTTTGCAAAATGGCATTGAAATTCCTCATTTGTAAAATTTTACAACTATTAAATGAATAATACGTTTAATGATATGGGGACGTCTTAACATTCATTGTCTCTCACAAAAACTAGCATCGTCATTTCAAGTTTATGTCTCTTCTAAAGAATAGAACAGAACAGAATGATAATTTATTGACCTCCCGATGGAAATGAGTTGTATATTTTAATTATTTTGACTTTTATGTGTTTATGTGTTCAGATGTTTTGCACAGTCTCGTAAATGTACTCCCAGCTCTCTAAATAAAATCTATCCCCCCCCCACACTTTGTGTACCTCCTTCCTTTTTCCGCTGCTTCCTTCCAAGACCACCCGCACCCCCCACCTCCATCTTTTTACAGCAGCGGCTGCAGATTACACAGTGTGATAAGCTTCCTATTCCTTGAAACTATGTAGGATTGCAGAGATTATCTGGCCTCATTTCCTTATGGAGCCGGCTTTGGAAAGCCCAATTTTAGTCTCTTAATGTTCTCAGGATTTTGCATCCCGACAGCTTTAACTAATTATCATCCATCACCGGGTGGTGTGTAACCAGTGGGCTCACTTTTAGCAAAATCCGTACACACACATACACACTCGCAAATTGGTTCTGATGTGTTTGCGGAGCCTCTGATGCAGTTCATCCTGTTAAATTTAACGATCAAAAACCAAACACTTTGGACTTGTCAAAAAACAAAAGGATATTGGGATAAAATATGGCTTAGCTTGAGAAAAATACTGGGATATGAGATACCCAAAACATGTAAAACACTTTATCTGGGAAATCTTACACATAATATACGTAATATAAAAAGAGGATGAATACCTTTTTAAAATATTGTTAACAGCAAGTAAAAAAGCCATCAAGAATGTGGCACAGAGTGGATCCACAGACCATGGAGCAGTGGCTGTGCACTGTGGAAGAGACATTTACAATGGAAAAACTCATAAATCAAGACTCAAGAGGTGCAATTTTGTAAAAAAAAAAAAAAAAATGGGACAAATGAACTTATTATAGGACAAATACACCACTAATGAGAACCCTGGAAATGTACCCATTGTTTAAGGATGCACTTCTACACTGTAACTGTTCTAAGAAATTTTCAATAAAAATAAGTAAAAAATAAATTAATTTAAAAAAAAAAAACTTAATCACATCTTTTTAAAAAAAGAATTAAGCAGCAGAGGTGAAAAAATGGTGCTAAAATAATAATTTATTGCAATATCACAATATATTTTACAAACATTAAAAATGAAGTGCAGCAGCTTTATGATCTTGACATTTTTAATGACCTAATATTTGAAATAAAGAATACAATGACACACACTTGACCAAATCGGGTTCCATTTTAACATTAGACTATTAAAAAATATAAATAATAACAAATACGATTGTAGTGTTGCCCTACAGTAATTATCACACTATAATACAAACACTTTCAGGGTACAGAGGCATTCAGGCCCAGGTGAAGACCGACTTGTGGATGCATGTTGGACCACGGCCAGTAGAGTCTGGGAGCCAGACAAGGCAAAGGAAATGTGGGGGCCTGAGGACAGCACCAACAGGTCATCCTGTGAGGGCGGTGTGTAAGGGTGGTTGCAGGGTGGTAGGGGGAGGTCAGGGAGGCCAGGCGGAGCTGTCCTGCCACCCTCCGTGCCCTTCTCCGTGCCCTCCGACAATGGTAGTCCCCTTTAGAGAAGTCCTGATAGTTGGCCGGGTGAATCGCCCAGAAGTGGCCTTTACCGTTGTCGCTTCGACCCGCTTTGATGAAGCAGTCATTGAGGGACAAGTTGTGGCGCACGCTGTTCCTCCAGTTTTTATCCTGTTGGAGCGAGAGAAATATTTTTTTTAGAAATTAGGCTATAACCTGAGAGCAAACAGGACTGAAACAACAACGGCTCCTGATTGGACGATAACTTAAGTATCAGTGATCCGCTTTACTATGGCACCCTTTCCTGTTGTTGGCAGCATGCTCGTTTGTGTGTCAAGAGTTTGTATGATCGCAGTGGCACACAACACCCTGCGTTACCTTTTCAGCACATCAGCTAGCGATCAGCTTTAATCCACTATAGGCGACTTCCAATCTGTTGTCACACCTGGTGAAGGCAGAGACACTTTGAAGCCTAGCAACAGGATTACTTTATTTGTGAATTTGCCAACAAGATCATCTTCTGTCCCTACGAGGACCTAATAGCCTAACCACTCAGACTGATTGCCTGGGCCAACTAGGTCGCATCGCATAAGACACAGGTTCTGCCATCGTTTGGTGACTAATTGATGTATATGCGACGACATGCACACTGACGTTACTCGATTTACTTTGTGTTAACTATCAAGTTTAACTTCCACCTTCCTTCACAACTACAGTACAACTGTCTCCATAAATGTCTTGATTTCTTTCTCACGTGGATAGAAAAACGTGTGAATTGGTATGAACGTACCTTACTCTTGAAGTAAGGGTAGTGGTCCATGATCCACTGGTAGATGTCACACAGCAGCAGTTTCTTCACCTCAGACGCCAGGATCGCCTTGGAGATGAGTGCGATGTATGACTGGTTGGGTTTGTCCTCGGATTTCTCTGAATCAGAGTTCGTACAGGTTGTGGTGGTGGTCACTTCCTCCTCCCCCTCCTCTTGTTGTTCTTCATCACACTCCTCTTCTTGGGTATTACTTTTGTCATCGCCCGCCTCTGACTTCTTGGATTGCTTCCCTGATGTCTGACAATGAATCTCCACCTCTTCGCGTTTAGGATCCTGATGGTTTAGCGTGTCCTTTTCTGTCTGTTCTGCCGCACTACTTCCTGTCACTTCTACTGTAGAACCTTTGACCCCTCCATTGAACAGAAGGTAATCAATAGTAAAGCTCAGTCCAAGCCTGTCTCTGTTTCCAATGCGGCTGCTTCTGCTCTCCATTTTCATTTCCGAATTAAGAGATTTTTGACTCATTGCAGGTGTGTCTTTGTCTCCACGCTGATTGTTTAGCAAATAAAAATGTTTTTAAAAAGTCTTCTCAGAAGCGTGATTCTGAGTTCTGCAGCATGGCTCCTTCTTTTTCTTCAAAAATAGGACCCTTAATAAATAAGCGCGTCAGTGCCACTTGAATCTTTCGCCGAAGCCTTACTGTTGACAAGATCACAGATAAAGATGAGCCTTTAACCTGTTGTTAACCTTGATGCGCTCACGCCTGACACATATGCGACCTAAATGACGTCAGTTTTAAAGACCAAACACGCCTGCGCTGTTTGTTCAAAGAAGAAGAAGAAAAAAAAAAAATTTACGTTTTTGGTCTCTCTAGAAAAAAACCCTGCAAATAAAAACCTCTCTCTGCATTGTGCTTCACAGTTGTGAAGTGAAGTTGCGTCTCTATTTATATGACTGTGAACTTATCCCTCACAGAAAGGGGCAAAGACGGCACAGCGGATGTCCAGGTAGGGGGTCTCAATTGAGGCGGATTATTTTTTATTAACCTTAGCAAATCTTTGTAATTACGGGAGATTAAACACTCAAGATTTAGAAAGACGTAGGCTGAATACAGTGGAATCAAAGACCCTCAGTTATCATGTTTGACTAGTTTTGCATGGGATCTTGTCCAAAGACAACAATTACAACAATGCACAACTTACTGGGCCGAGCAGTGATTTGGAGTTCAGTCATTTCTCTTCATTGCACCAGCAAGAGTTACAAATTAACACACAAATGCATGTGTGGCAAATGATTTTCTGCTTCTGATATGAAAATTTTATCAATTGCATTTTTATGACATTTATTACCATTTTTACAAGTGGTTTTTTTATTGATTTATAGGTTAATTGTGAATGTAGCATGTGCATGTTGTCTTTTTCCAAATTTGTGTCTTTTTTCTGTATAATTAGAGCATGCTACTGGATGCTATCTATCTATCTATCTATCTATCTATCTATCTATCTATCTATCTATCTATCTATCTATCTATCTATCTATCTATGCATTTTTCTTATTAGCAAATGAATATTAGTTTTTCATCTTTCATGCTAGATTTTTTTCTAGCTATAATGTGCATATAATTAAATAAATATAAACCAAGAAATTTATTAAATCTTCATATAGGAAATTAATATTTATTGTTACATATTTTGTTCAATAACTCAGCGTGGGGGGGTTAACAATAACTTATTTGCTTTGATTAACAACTTCAAAAAGCCTTCTTTGGTGTATTGGTATGTAAACCAAACCAAAGACTAAGTAACGTCTGTTGGTGTGCATTGTTGTCAATAAAAAATGGTTTATTTTGATGTTTAAGGCGAAATAAAATAGCTGTGAAAAAATTGTCATTTTTTTATTTTGCACTGCCAGTGACATTAATTATATATTGTCTTTTAACGCTATATATGCTTATTTTGTTTTAGCGGCTAAATTCAGTCAAAGGGTTGTTTTTTTATGTTGGGGTTTTATTTTATTGTTTGTTGGTATTTATATATGCTTTTTTTGACAAACTATAAGAATGCCTAAAACAACTGTATTTAAACTTACAGTTTTAAATAAAATGTATCAACTGAAGCCAAAGATCACGTTCTTCTTGTATATTCACAAATCAAATACTTAAGTGAAGTTACACACTTCAACATTTTTAGTTAATGTTCTATGTGAAACGGAAAATTATCCACATTCATATACTTCTGTATTTGATGTTCTTCTGGCTCTGAATAATATTAAATATACATATATAATACATATATAAATATTAAATATTATCCATTAACCTATCTGTGGGGGTGTAAAGAAAAACCTCAGAATATGGTATAATTGTCACACTAGTGAAGAAAGGTTACAACTTACAGTATACAATAAATAGTAATAATAAAACTGCTTTGTTTTGTCGAATCAACCAAGAAGAGGAATTCAGTCAGCGTCAGTTCAAACCATGAACCATGTTGCCCTCTTCTGTTTAAACTATGAAACGAGAAAACGAAGTGCTGAAAATAAAAAGGACCAATTTGGTACCTCTTTGGGATTTTTTTTTTATTTTTTTTTATTTCCCTATTCACATTTCCTGTGCAAATTTATGTTCCATTACAAAAATAGAATGTTTAAACTAACTTTAACAAAACAATATTATTTACTGTAGATAACACACAAAGCTACATTTGAGTGTGAGATGTGTAAACTAAAAACAAATACATAAGTAGGTAAATAAAATAATTTTACATTTGTTAAATATAACTGAAGTTAATCAAAAAATTATAATTTTGAAGAATAGCAAAGTTAGATGTACTTGTGACAATTCATCCTTTTTTGTTGACAATTTACATCGTAGGTGAAGCCGAAACAAGACACACCGCATTATTACATGATGCTGCATGATCCCCGCATTGATTTTTCTGTTTCCACGAGGTTGTTCCTCGTGCATGCACACGCACGGTGTTCCTTGAAAAACAGAACTGGATCACCGTTTGGAACGTGCATTTCTGACAATATTCTTAGCCATACTTAATTTTCATCTCAAATTCACATTTGCACTGTAAATGGGTTTGAATTGGCCTGAACAAGGACATGAGTGTGTTTTATTTCATTGTTAATTTCACCTTAATTATGAACCGACCTCAAACAAAGCATTAGCACCATTTGTGGCGGCAGGTTCTAAAACCCGAAATGGAATATGTTGCTCGGAGAGGATTTGAACGCACCATGCTACCCCAGCCACTTGACACCCCAAGCTTTACACCAAAGTTAAATTTCACCAACACTTAACACATGAATTCAAAATAACTCAACATTATAAAGCCAAAAAATCTTAAATTTGTTAATATTTCGACACGTGGTGTAAATAATAAACACTGAGGCCTAATTTGGAAAAGAGACCTGCCTGTGAGTATTTTTTTAAATGTGCACTGTAACTTTAAAAACTATTATTCCCGCCTGTTTTTAACGTAGCCTTCGGAACGCTGCGAGATGCTGCGTTCTCATTGGACAAACGTGCCCGTCAATCAAACAGGCTCAGCGTTTCATTGGTGAACGACTAGTCGTCATTTGTGACTCTCGCGGTACCGCTGCACGAAGATGGCGGCCGAACTGGTGGAGGCGATGGTAGGTGAAGCTTGGTGGGCTTTCATTTGATGAAAAATGAGTCCCGGAGTGGAAGCTGAAAGTCACTCCGCTGATGGGATGTCTGGGGTTGGGTACGGGTACTTTTAAGCGTTTGTGCTATCCTAAATGTGGTGCAGTGTATTCACGACGAAAAGAACTAGCCTGTGCGGTGCTAAGTTAACTAGCCTGAAAGTGGCTGTGAGGGAAGACAACGAAATTGAATGATGCCATAATATAAGCGGCTGGGGGGTTCAATCACTGTATTTTCCCGCATGTCATCATTTAGCGCCGATGTTTACGTTAAAATCCACGTGTAGTTGGCTGTTTTCTTTGTGGAGCTGTGCACCTGTCAAAATGTAAGTAGTCATGACTGAATGCCGACAGTCTTTTCTGTAGTCGAGGTGAGCCTTTTAGCAATGCTGACCTTTTAATGGTGTTGAGCTGAGACTGAGTACATTTCTACATTATCGACTTCAGGTGACAGCTCGTACAGTAAATGGTAAACAGACCCCGGTGAGCACATTTAAACAGACGCAACTCCGTCATTGTTGTCCCGCAGGCTGAGCCTGTCAAAGTCTCTGGGCTTCATTTTAAATCGATTCTTGTTCCTTTTAATACACATCTTTAAGTGGGTGTATGTGTTGTCTTATTGGAGCAGGTTAATGGAGTTGTGTCTGTATAGAAGTAAACAATAAGAAGTTGCATTTATTAGACTTTTAAGCCACCGCAAGTGTTTTCTGTGCATTTCACGTGGCTCATTTTACTGTGCAGATGTGTTCAGTCCATAAACATCTGCACTTGTTTATTTTTCGCTTCTTTTTCAGCTGTAAACACTGCAAACAGTTTCATTTGTAAATGCTCAAGCTAAATCTCAATGCTTACTAGTATAGACTAATAAACTATTAATACTGATAAAATATCAGAATTGTTTCTTCAAAACGCATTAATATGGTGTCTTTATATATATATATATATATATATATATATATATATATATAAAATTGTCATTGCAACTATATTATATTAGAGGAGTTTTTCTGCAAATTACTGCCTTCATTTCTTTAGGAACATAAATGGATTCATCCAGGTTATTACATGGTGTTTTCATATCTGGTTGATAACCAAAAATATTTCTAAATTAATATGTGGACCCCTAGATAACATTGTACAATGCAATTGTTTTCTTCAACATAGTATTTTGAATATGTAGTTTTGTTTTTAAGACTTTAATCCTTTTTAATTGTTTGAAGGTTTTTCTTTCTTTTCATCCATCCATCCATCCATCCATTTTCTTCCGCTTATCCGGGGTCGGGTCGCGGGGGTAGCAGCCTAAGTAGGGAGGCCCAGACTTCCCTCTCCCCTGCCACTTGGGCCAGCTCTTCCGGGGGAATCCCGAGGCGTTCCCAGGCCAGCTGAGAAACATAGTCCCTCCAGCGTGTCCTGGGTCTTCCTCTGGGCCTCCTTCCGGTGGGACGTGTCCGGAACACCTCACCAGGGAGGCGTCCAGAAGGCATCCTAAACTGATGCCCTTTCTTTTCTATTGTTTTTTTTGTTTGTTTGTTTTTCTGTGGATGAAAAGCAACAATTTGTAAGTTGTACTTGTACAGTACATTTTGATTTTTGCTGCCGAATTTTTTGCAGTCACAAGTTATTCAAAATAAGAAATGGTGTGACCTTAATAAAAATTGGAAGACAATTTCAAGCTTCTGTAGATCTTAATGAATCACATAAAATATTTTGTAGTTATGAAACGGTTTGTGTTGAATGCTCAAGTTTATGTACAATGTGTGCTCCTTAAGACAAGCAAATGTAGCCGTTGTACTTAAGTGTCACAATAGAAATCTCATTTTCAGAAATAAGATCTTAAATATGTTAGTTGATTTGTTTGAATGTTCGTTTAAAATACCTTAAAATTATATATAAAACATAAATTTTAGTGTCCATCTTGCCATATTAGTTTTACCGCCTTTAAAATGTTAAAATGTAATTTAATGCCAGCTGGACACATAACATATACTCAAAATGAAACAAAGAAGTACGTACTCAAAATGAAACAAAGAAGTACGTACTCAAAATGAAACAAAGAAGTATGTACTCTAAATGAAACAAAGAAGTACTTACAAGTTAAAACAATTTACTGTAAAAGTAACATTGTTCTGTAAAGTTTAAGAAATTAACTGAGGACATGGTGGGGGTGTTGAGACTGTCTATAAAAGAAACATACACCTAAGGCTTTGTGTTCAAAATGTGATCACTAAAGCTATATGTTATAGAATCTCACAGTAAACCCTTTTTACACACAATCCACCACTGCATCCAGAGTTGATATGTAAACGTGTATGTACTCGGCACAAAAACACCAAGAGTTTTCTGTGCAAACTTACGAGACAGACCATGTCGGCTGTTATCTGACAATTAGAAAACAGTCTTTGATAGATTGGAGCTGCATCAATGTACATTGCTTGGATACCTTGCACATGCATGAAGAAATCATTGATGAGAGACGGATAGTTTCTCCTAACAAGAAGAATGCCAAACTTCATTCTGTAGAACTAACAACAGTGTGATTTTGTTTACACAAAGACTAAATCTCATTTCTTTGTGCTACTGCTACATGTTCAGTATCCCCTTTGCCCTTAATTTAAAATCACAACTGTTAAAGCACTTATCTACACAATGAGACACCACTTGAAGCTGATGCATAATTTTCAGTTGCTGCTTTCCTTTATGTAAACAGATGCAGGATGTTTTTACCAAAAATTCAGTGTGCATTTAACTAGTTATCTTGCAGTAGCATGAGCATCCAATGCTCATTTTTACACTTGTTAGACTGGCATTTAGGATAAACTGAATACCTGTCAATATCATCAAACTGGGCATTATGTTTGTAACAACAGAATATTATTTAAAAAGAAAATGCCTAACATTTGTGACGTCTTTTGGCTGGCACAGAAGGGTTATGAACCATAAACGTTCTGACAAATCTTTGGAGAGTCTTCTAGACTAGCACTGTCGTATTTTACATCACAAAGAAAACTTGGCATAAATATGTGAATATGTAAAACATGGGGACAAGTGTGTGGTCACGACTGGCCTCCCTGCAGATCTTATTCCTGTTGAAGTTATGTTGTGTAACATGAAAAGGGGAATTAAACAATAATAGCTACAGCCTTTTGAGCAGCTCAAAACAGATGTTTCTTCTATGTAGGGAATAATTATGGTCTTCAACACCTACATTGTTAGCGCAGTATAAAAGATAGGTGATGTATCACATTAGTAAATATTCAGTTTTTCCATATTTCTTTATTGTTACACATTTTAGCTATACAGTATTTATATTTTGCAACTCAAAGAAAATACATTTTTTTTATACTTTTGTCCCATAAATTAGGGTTCAAACAAATGAACATTTGCAGATGTGAATTTTCACATTTTAGACAATTTTTACAACTTTTCAGTAAATTATATTTTGCTTTTATTTTGTCTGGACTGGTGACATTTTAAAGTTAACGAAACGTTAAGTCTAAAAACAAACTAATATACAACTAATGAAGTTCATGAAGTTAAATCAGAGAAATTTGAACATTTATCTCTGTGGCAGTAATTAGGGTTTAAATGTCAGTTTGGTGTCTGTATCCGTTCAGGTGGGTTTATGAAATCAAAAGTTTGTAGTGTGTGGATTCAGATTATTGTTCTATAGTTGGTGTTTTCTTTACATGCTAAATCCCCTTTGTAATTTGCTTATTTCCTTCTATCCCCATCTTTTAGAACATGGTGAAAAGTTTCCGGGTTTCAGACCTGCAGACGCTGCTGGCCTCAATGGGTCGCAGCAAAAGTGGCCTGAAGCAGGACCTGGTGGGGCGAGCTCTGAGGCTAGTGCAGACGGAATACAGCCCAGAACTGCTGAAGAATGTCAGGCAGCTGTATGAGTCACGCTTCCCCAAAGCATCTGGTTGGCTGCCAGCGCGGCGTCCTGATGGACTTCCAGTTCCATACACATCTCTCAGCTCCTCCACCACCACCACCTCACAGGGCACAGACTACCTCAATGGGATTTCGAAACCGCTCCTTGCCCCACGAGCAGAGGTCAAGCTGACTCCTCTGCCCTTCTACCAAACCTTAGAGACACTGCTGCCACCGACAGATCTGAGTACTTTCCTTTTGTTGCTTTCGTGTTCTCCTGTATATTTTGTTCTCATTGATATCTGTGCTATTTTAAATGGATTTTGTCCTTTACAGTTTCCCATAACAATGAAAAACTACAAGACAGTCAGTGCATCTTTGAACTGACACCAAACCAAGCAGACCAGCTCAGAAATGCCAGGTAACTTGTTGAAAATTTCATGTTAGATTCACAGCAATTGTTTTGCACAGCTGATCTGATTTAAAAATAGAAAACAGATGTTTATTTAAAAAAAACAATCTTGTCTACTTTTAGTGAACTTCGTCCAGGAATGCGATCAATCCAAGTGGTTCTCAGGTTGGTTCCCAGATAACTAACAATCTGCTTTTCTGAAATCTTCAAGTGATCCCAAAGAATCTCATTCTTAAAGCAAAATGATTTATTTTTCATATTGTTTTTTTCCTTGCAGAATCTGTTACTCTGACGCTGTTGGCATTCAAGAAGACCAGTATCCTCCAAACATTGCTGTCAAAGTGAACCAGTCCTACTGTCACGTACCGGTGGGTTGAATTCCTCTGTTATAAGCCACTGCGTCACAGTATGAGGCAAAAACTGTTTATTCCTCTGTTGGGTTTTGGTAGATCCTTTCATACAACATGTGGTCTGTGTTGTTTGATGGCTTTTGTTTGTTTCATTCCTATCTGAGCTCTTGACTGCATTTCACCCCACCTTTTGTGGTTTTTCATTCATTCAACCTTTATTTATACAGGTTAGGCTCACTGAGCCTTGAGAACTCATTTGCAGTTATTTATTTCTCTTTTTTAACAAAAACAAAAATGTCCATCACAAGCCATAACCACTAATAAACATTAAATTATATATATATATAATCATAGGCATCGCAACCATTATATGTGAAGGGGACATGTCTCCCCTCGTTCCCCCCCCCCCCCAAACACACACACTTTTACTATAAACATTAATACAGTTGGCGCAGTTTCTCTTTCTTCATGAACGAATCCATTCCACTTGATTAATAGGAGAATACTCAAGCCACTAAAACTCCACTCCAGGTTTTCCTGGTTACCTCCAACTCACTGAGTCTCCTGCCTCGGCAGAGAACGCTCACAGATGGAGGAGATGGAGACACATCTGTGTTGCTCGCTCGCCAGTTTAGCGAGCTTAGTGCGGGCAGTTGTTGACCAGGGGGTTTGTTCATAAATGGGGCTGGGTACCTTTCTAAAAAAAATTATCGGTACCGGTGTCAGTACCTTCTCTTTGGTGTCGGTTCCTGGGCGGTTCTTTTTTTGGTACCAATTTTGTAATTAATATTGATTCTAACAAAAAGAGTTTTATTTTTTAACGTAGGTATTTTTCTATTCTAAGCAGTTTTCTTACATAAAAATAAACAATTTTCAGGTCAAAAGAACAGTTACAAACCAGTGACACGTCAGTGTCTAATGCTCACTGCTACACACTGAGGACATTTTCACTTAACAGGTTTTCTTCAGAAAAATCAACATGTCTGCTTTCTCTGGACACAAACAAGCCCGTTCCTGGCTGATGGTGTCTCCAGCAGTAGAAAATATTTACTCTGAGGGTGTGGATGATGCTTGTTGCACACACAGATACCTGATTGCCAGTTTGACAGCACTGGCATAGTGTCCCTCACATTCCACCACCAGGTCACTGGATTCACTGAGGTTAGGGTTGATGGCAGACATCTGCACCTCTGTGTCTCTTCCTGAATCTTCTCTGTGGTTCTCTGGGGTTTAGAGCTCTGATCATCTCCCTAATGACATTATAACAAAACATCAACAATGACATGGTTGTGTTATTATTGCTCAAAAACCATTATCTAGGCTGAGAGATAAAAGTTTAACTGGTCAACAAAATCCTTTACAGTTTGCTTACCTCCACCATGCAGCCTCCACTGTAGAAAAAGGCAGCAAACAACAAAGTTTGACTGTCCTGTGGCCCCCACCTCACTTTTCTTTTCTCTGTCCTCCTCACAGGGTCAGAGGCTCCTGTGAGGAGAACATGAACAGTGAACATTAGTGAACTGTTTAAGCAGCTTACTAGATGGATGAGCAAATTTTTACAAGCTAAACTTTATCTATTACTGTCAATCTTTAGTTAGCTTCTGATTTTAGCTAGCTACATAGATGCCCATAAAATAAATTTACACACTAATATCTTAAAAAGTTAGCGTTACATGGATTCTAGTTTAACCCACCACGATGCATGCATTAAGCTGCAGTAACATTAACAAACGTAAACTTACCAGCTGAAATCCCAGACACGGCTCCATCTTCGGAGTTCTTTGATAAAGAGGAGTCCAGTCGTGGAGATAATGAATCAGGCTGTTCATGCTCTCTAACACTCACAGTCTGACTAATGGTGAGAGGAGGAGGAGGCTGCTGTCCTCTCTCCTTGCAGAAAAACACGGAGCAACTTTCTGCTCATAAATTGAAGCCATTCGACAACATGCGCTGCACACGTGAACCCCGTCTGTGGGCGTCACCAGCACCATAGACGTACATTAGACATAGATTAGGTACTTCAGCTCTATACAGCTCTGGGTGTAAACACGTAGTCTGTTTGTCATATGTCTGGTGTTTTACTTGCCTGCGTGCTGAAACCACATGACACGTTACAGCCAATACGGAAACTTGACACTGAAAAAAAGAGTGACATTTCAATCCATACACCGACCAGTTCGGTCGGTGCTATAAAATAACCTCGGTTCGGTACTTGGCCCAAATCATAAACATATATTCATGGTTAGGAGGAGAGAAGTGGAGCGCTACGTAGCATCTTAGCTTAGCAGTAACTGTGACACTGTAAGAAGCTGCAGGTGTAAGAGACGTGATGTGTTCAGGTGCATTAAAGTTGAAATGTCTATAAAACCCCCACACCTTATTGTCCTCAAGCTTTGTGAGAAACATCATTTAGATGAGTAGTGTTGAACACAAGTAAAGTCCAGTGGTGATGTTTTTTATTCATCTATAAACACAAATAGTGCCGACCTGACGCTCTGTATTAAAGTGTATTAAAGTTAAAATGTCTTTAAAATCCACTGCTGAATTTACACAAACTTGGTGAGAAACGTGCTTTAAATGTGTAGAATTAAAGGAAATCTAGGTGAAATGTTGCTTTTTTGTTCACTGGTGTACACGTTTTAGCGTGCACACACCTACACACATCATTGTGTCCCCCCCACATTACCGATGCTTCTGACGCCCTTGATAGATATAGATATGTCTAAACATGATCAGCAGTTGCTTGATTACACATTTGGTTCTCAGTAAGTATAAAACTATTTCCAATTTTTTCTTTTAATTATTGTATGCAAATTAATCACACTCATAATTATTGTCACAAAATGCTGGTGAAGATTCTCAGTCATCCAGGACATGGTAAATCAAAAAAAAAAGAAGTTAAAGACAAAAACAACTGGACTTTATTTTGTAGCTGAAGATGTTTCACTTCTCATCCGAGGAGCTTTCTCATTCTCATTTCAAAGAACAGGGAGTGAGGGGTTCGAGTTATAAAGCTGAGTTTTCTGTAAGCTATATGCACATGCAGGTTGCCCTCACTCCGCACAATAGAGGTTGGTTAGCAGGTGGCCGCTTGTCCTGATCCTGGTTCTGCTGGAGGTTTCTTCCTCATGAGGGAGTTTTTCCTTTCCACTGTTGCCTTCATGCTTGCTCCAGATAAATACTATAATAATACAAATAATAATAATAATACAAAATTCAAATAATAATGCACGTTCACCACATGGTGTTTTTCATCTTCTTTTTACTTGGTCACATTCACGCCACTATACACATCTCGTTTTTAAATTTTGCAAGTCACGTCACACGTCTGAGCTGTGCGCTGTTTGTGATGGATAATTTAATTATCCTGTCTTCATCTCATTAGACTTTTCAACCCAGTTTACTCCTTGCAAGGGGGTTAACACACATTATTACAGATTACACAGATGTTACATTGAAGCTCTGGTTGTAAGGTCTGCCCACAGACAGTATAAAGGAGTGTGTTTTTATAATTTATTTATTATTAACCTTTATTTAACCAGGCAAATCCCTTTTAGATCACGGATCTCTTTCGCAAGGGAGGCCTGGATGTGAAGGCAGCCTAACATGCATGTTTTTGCTCTGTGGGAGGAACCGGAGTACCCGGAGAAAACCCACGCAAGCACGAGAAGAACATTCAAACTCCACACAGAAAGGCCCCAGGTCCAATCGGGGATTGAACCCAGGACCTTCTTGCTGTGAGGCAACAGTGCTAACCACTGAGTCGTCGTGCTGCCATAACGCTTATCAGAGACGAGGTCAAGACAACCTCTGCTTCCCAGCACACAGATGTGGAGGCGTCAGCTGTTACGTTATGTGCAGGCAGTTCATCGGGCGCCTGCTGGCTCCTCTCCGAGTAGACAAGACTCTTGACCTCACACGTGGTTCTACATTAATTTAACCTTAGTTAATGATAACATCCATGGCCTTTACCTAAATTCCCCTGACAGTTTGTATCAACAGTTTTCAGGTGGGGGGTCAGTGTGAGGGAAGAGGCAGTGTGAGGGAAGAGGCAGCGTGAGCGCTGCCTTTAGCTTTTTAGCTAACACGCCTGTATTGCGCGCCGCTAGCTTAGTGCTACGTCAGTGCCGACGTGGGTGGGTGGGTGGTAGTGGGGTGTATGCGCCCAGTTCGGTTCGGTAGCCAGGGTGCTTGGTTCTGTTGACAGGGCGGGGCGCCCCGCTTGTATAATGGTAGAGGAAACACTGAAGAGCTGTTCTTCTGAGCCACTGATGGACGTTTCATTCGTTCGGACAATTCTGTTCAAATCACATACTTTGGTTTTTGTGCTGAGTAATGTGTTGTAATACTCTGGTTTTATCACTGGTTGAAAGTAGTAACAAGTTAGAATATAGGACTTTGTGACTGATGGTTTTATTTTTCACTGTGTGTTTGTGTGTTTACAGGGATATTACCCTTCTAATAAACCAGGAGTTGAACCACGTCGTCCCTGTCGCCCCATAAACATCACACCTTGGTTGCATCTCTCCAGTGTTGCTAACAGAGTCACCATCACCTGGGGAAACTTTGGCAAGGTCAGATCCAAAAGCTGAACCTCAGAGCTGTATGTGAGACTAAAGCTGGTAGATTCCACAGAGCACCAAGGCATGCTGGGACTTGTGTGTTTCAGAGGTCCCCCTGAGCTGTGTGTGGTGAAACATGCACACTTTTGATTTTTAAGAGAAAAAATTGCTTTATTCTTCTAATGTCACTTAAGGTTTTGTCTGTGTTCAATATAATCTGTTGTTATTGTGCATGACTCTACCTTTATTTTAAATAGCATTGTCCAACATAAGTTAAAATTGTGTTTTCACTGTAATTCATTCTGTTAAACTGTGGTAACTTCCTTTAAAACTCCAGTGTAAATCTGTTTCCAGCGTTACTCTGTCGCGGTGTATCTAGTGAGGGTCTTCACCGCAGCAGACCTCTTCAACCAGCTAAAGCTCTGCTCTGTTGAAAATCCAGAACGCTGTCGTGAACGCAGTAAGTGAACTCAACACTTATAATGTTCAAAATGAGCCATTTACTACATTTTCTCCATGTTGATTTGTAGAAGTAACGTTTATTTATGTACTGCAGCTTATTGTGACCGCTCGGGTATTTTCCCATGATTCTCTTGCAGTTCAAGATAAACTTCGATTTGATCCTGAGAGCGAAATTGCGACCACCGGCCTCAGAGTCTCTTTAATCTGTCCAGTAAGCATCACCATTAAATCGAACCTGATCAGTGTTCATGAAGAATTTAATTTGCATCGTCCTCTGTCTTCGTGTCTTCCCAGCTGGTGAAGATGCGACTCGGTGTGCCGTGCAGAGTTTTAACTTGCGCCCATCTTCAGTGCTTCGACGCAGTCTTCTTCCTGCAGATGAATGAGAAGAAGCCCACGTGGACTTGCCCCGTCTGCGACAAGCCTGCTCCCTTTGAGCTGCTCACCATTGATGGGTAGGAAGATGTGCCACCCCTGCAGCATTTTCTGCTGCTTTTTACAATTTACTTAGATTTGTATATGTCCTTTTGTTTAAGTCAGTTTATTTTTAATATTGAGCTGTGGAGTGTGTTGTTTTACGATAAAAGGGTTGGATGTTTTGAAAATTATAAAGTAGTTATTCTGTTTTTTTGCACTTACTGCTGACTAAAAGCCAAAACTCCTGACTCCTTTTGTTTGTTGAGGGGCTGATAAACAAGTTGTCACGTGTAGAGAACCTTGTAATAAATGAACTCAAAGGCTCAACAAGTTTTGCCAGCACTGCAAATTATTATAGTTTTACTTTTACTGAGTAGTTTCTAAACGTTGAAGAGCACCTTGTCAGATTTTACTACTTTGTTAAAGAATAACGACACACAAATTTCAGTTTAAAAATTTGTGGTTAGCAGAGAATAAGAAAACAATCTGGTTCTCACTTAATTTATTAATTTATATTGAACTTTTTTATGATAATTATGACAAATACAACCTTAGACAAACAACTAAAGCTGAGTGGCTCATACATGTTCTGACTCACAATGAGGATGTTTTTCTACATGCAGTTAATATTATTTTCAAATTCTCCATCTCAGACGTTCAAAATAGTAGTTTGAGATTTGACGACTTACCACCTAGCTAGCTATGAGCTAATTTTGTTTACAAGAGTGCCAATTTGAAAACAAATTTTATTGGTCTGGAATGATGTCATTAGGTATTCCAGCCTGATATGCATAAAAGTGGAAATGCCCCAGCTTCATAATAACACCAAACATACAAAATTATTTTCTGGTTCTGGAGGAACCGGCAGAGAGAATAGTGAATTTTAAAGGAAATAAAAAAGATTGTAAGTAAAATAATTATTTCTGAAGAAATGCCTGTTGCAAAACTTCACTTTACAGCTAGATTAGGAAGATCACATGTTTTAGTTACTGGGATCACTAGATGGTGTCTTTATGGACTCATTTTTATGCCAATCTTAATGACAGCAAAAATCAATATTTTTTTTACTAATTTTGCACTGAAGCCTGTGCTCATTCCAACTCATTTTGCCACCAGGGGTCACATAAACTAGATTACCTGATCACTGTAAAAAGGCTATAAAAAAGGACAATTTGCATGTGAAATATTCAAGACAGTTCAGCAAACATCCACTCTCCTTAGGAGTGGATGTTTTGGTAAATTTATCCTGGGGTCCAGCTGTTTAATGTGCTGAGATATTGTGAATGACCCAAAAGCTATATGTCTGCAAACTTCACTAATAAAAAATACTGAAGTAGTCTAAAGCCCTATTTGCACGGGATTAGTTTTACCTAGGGACCACATGCTAATTGTAATAATTACGGAGATTGTCTGTGTTGTTAATCCCGTGCGAATTGGCCATGTCAGTAATTTGTCAAGTGAAAATTCCCCCGCAAATTACCTACTATATTTTGCTGAACTCCGAGGCCCTGTAATAAAACTAATCCAATGTGAATAGGCATCTCTGTGATTTGGACAGAAATGGGAGGGATCTGATACGTAATGAGGCGTTTTTGTTTACGCAAAATCATTTAGAAAAATATAGAGCAAGGCTATTTTAAATGAACGCGCTGCTCGCTTCGGCTTTTGTAGATGCGGCTACTTTCTTCACCGCAGATGACGGCAGGTGTGGAGCATGCAGCCGGTGATCAGCTGATCCATCCATCCATTATATTTACCCGCTTCTTCCTTTTCGGGTAGCGGGGGTCGCTGGTGCTCATGTCCAGCCATCACTGTGCGAGAGGCGGGGGGACACCCTGGATAGGTCGCAAGTCCATTTCAACCGGCGAGTCAGTGGACGTGCGCGGCCGCTGACAGCTGTCCTTCTGAGCTTAACGTGGCTTTTTTTTACCTCTTAAACCGGACAGTCGGACCTGCCTCCTCTTCAACAAGTAGATTAATCTTTATTTTATATTCCAAAAAAGTTCAATCTGGTCCTCTGGACATTCAAAAAAAAAAAAAAACTTTGAATGTCCAGAGGACCAGATTGAACTTTTTTGGATTTTTCTACCTGGATTATTGAGCATGCATCAGAACTATTTTATATTGTGCATTCTTTAGTTTTCTTTAGTACTGATTCGTAAAACTACACCAAAGCCTGAGACCGACCCGGTCCGCACATTAAGCACATTATTATGGACCGGCCCAGTCGTGACAACGCAGCGCGTCAACATCACATCCAGAAGATAATTGTAAATTTCAGCTAATTCTCAGGATTTGGTTATCCGGTGCGAATGCGCCACATAAAAAGCAGACGTTGGGGAGTAATTTATTTATTACATGTGGTCCCTAGGTAAAACTAATCCTGTGTGAATAGGACTGAAGTCTGGATCTCAAGCTGAGTAAAATGCTGTGATGTGACATTAAGACAGTTGTTCATAATCAAATTTTTCTAAACCTTATGAGTAGAAGTTGACACAATGGCACTTTTTTAGGAAAGTTAAGGGAAAAAAGAGATCCGCCTGAACTTAATTCTGTAAAAAATAAACTGTTTTAGGGTGAAATATTTGATCCACAACAATTCAAACGTATAATTTCCCACAAATTCCAAGATCTAAACTCAAGTCTCGCTTGCACTCCTTTCACTTTCTCCGAAACAAAAAGCATTGCGTTTCACTTGGACTGTGCAGTTATTTGCATTCTTTGAAGTAAACTATTGAGAAACTCTGTCTTTAATTGATTACTTTGGTTTCTCTTTTCATTTATGCCTGATTTTTTTGGAGACGTCTTAGTCAAGCTCTGTGTGTTTCAGGTTATTATCGGAGATTCTGAAAGAGACAAGTGAGGACATCGAGGAGATCGAGTACTTAACAGATGGCTCCTGGCGACCCATCAAAGATGAGAAGGAGCGGGAGAGGGAAAGAGAACGCAGCAACACACCAGAGTACCCTGTTGTTGATATATGTAAGTGTCAAACCTTCTCATCCTAAATGTGGGAACACATGGTATTTTGTTGCACTGTACTTGAATAGAATTAAAGTTTCCTAAAGATATACATTTTTAAAAACGGTAGTTCTTCCTGCAGGCATTCCTGAAGCAAACGGACATTCGCCAGCCCACAGCAGCACCAGTCTGACGGGCAGATCTGGAAGCAGTTCACTGGGGGCGACTGGAGTCGCGGCAGGACCCACAGGGGCACCAGGAGGAGGTGCAGTGGTAGATCTAACTCTAGACTCCTCCTCTGAGGAGGAGGGAGGAGGGGCTGAAGGGGACAGTGAGGACACTGAGGACAGCGCCGACAGTCCCACCCCTAAGAGAGGTCGATACAACTTCGACAAGGACCTGGTCACTGCCTACTGACCCTGCAGCTTTGTCCCCTCACAAACTGACTCGCAGAGCTGCAGGGGACTTCACGAAACCGAGGACAGGAACACGGTAATCCCCTAGATGCAACAACCCTCCCCACTCCTCAAATATCAGAGCCTTTTTAGCAGCTCTAGAATAAATCCAGACAACACAAACACTCAGATATGCTCTGTCGATGACTCTTCAGCTTAGAGTGACAAGGATTGTGTCTTTGCACTGCACATTTCTGGAAGCAGCTCTTTTTGGCCAGTCGGCTCCTCGCAGCGAGTACCAACCTGCCACTTTTAAAGAGGCCGACTGGATTTAGCACCCCACCACCACCACCTCCTCCATTTCTTACTCCTCTCTTTCCAGACTATTCCCTCTGTCCATATTTCTTTGTATAGACTTCAGCTACGGGCTCTTTTAGCCACAGGTTAGTGTTTGCATCTGACTTTTGTCTGACAAGGTAAAATTAGAAGATTTAGGGTGAAGGTGAAATAGTAAAAACGAGAAGATGTGAGTAATTTGGAAGGGCCTGGCAGAAATATCTCAAGTGTGATAGAAGTTTAAAAATTTACATTTTGGGTTCTTTTAATTTTGTTTTGTCCATGGATAAAGAGAACCTACCTCAGTCATAAAAACTTAGCAGACTGACCAGGGAATAGCTTTGAAAGACAGGAGACAGATGAATAGAGTCTTTCAGGTTCCTGTTTTACACTGGAGATTCTTTTCTTTTTTTTTTAAACATATTTTACTTTCTTTCCTCCGTGCAGCTGTTTGCAACCACAACATAAAACTGGTGGTAGGGAGCTGCTGTGTGGATTACCAGGCTAACAGGTATTGTAAAATAACTGGGAGAGGAAATGTGCCATTCAGCAAAACTTGACTGCAAATCTCAAAGATTTGTTGGGAATAATAAATTCAAAATTAACATAACCCATCAAAAATACTGTAAGGACTCTGTGCCAAAGCAGAAATATTTTAGCAACCTGCTGACGGGAAATAAAGTGGAGGAAATCAGCTCATTGTTTCAGCTGAGCTGGCCCTGTTCACTCACTCATACTGTATATTTCTAGATTTCTGAGTCAGAACAATTGAACAAAGCAGAATGTAAAAGTGCTGGTATCTTTTATAACAGTTTTAATAGTTTTCTGTGGTAAATTTCTTAACATTTGGCTGCTGCTCTAGCTAGTAATTTTCCAAATCAGGGCGCCTCCGCTGCTAGGATTTGTGTGTTGGCATACAGTCGATCCAGGCTTGTGGCTCTGCTGTTAATGAACTCTGCCCTTTTTAGTTTCTCCTTCCCACCGAGTCCAGCCTGGGTCAAAATGGGGCTTTTTTTTTAGATGTGTAGCTGCTGCACACAACTACATAACATTTAAACTCATTGAGATTACAGATGATCCTGCTTGGCTTTCAGCATCAGCCCTCTCAGACTTCTTACAGTGTAGTCAAGGTCATATCTATTTCCTGGAATAGAATTAATTTCCTCATAATCCTCTAAATCTGCATCGTTCTCTTAAATATCTGAAGGCTGCTCCTCAAATTAAGATACTCAGGCTGAAGGTACCGGTTTCAGATGTGTTTCATGTATCCCCCCCACCCCAGAGATGTGCTTACATTTAATACTTTGTAATGGTTATTATTTAAAAGGTCCTTGGCTACACAATGATTCATGAATCCATGGGCATGTTATATTTTGTGTAAAATAATCAGACATTACATGAGAGGTCCTGCTCCACTGTTCAGTGGAGGGTGTGGTGCTTGTGGTTATAATTCAGAATAATTCAGGTTTCCTTTTCCTTGACTTAAATTTACAAATATTTATACATTTATCTGTGGCTTCACTGTTGACCACTGGGGAAAAGAAAAAAAGTAAAATCTTGTCTTCCATTTTTATTCTTTTGACAGAATATAAAATTAAAATTCAGAGGGAAACATTTAGGTAATCACACAAGCTGGTGGCTCTTTACAAAACTGATATATGTCCCTAAAAATCTATATTCTACGTGAATCGCTTTAAAGCAAATTAAAAACAAAAAAATCTCTTAAAACTGTCTTTTTATTTGGTAGTTTGTTTTTTGTAAGTAAACGTTATACATATGAAGAGAACATTTTTATTTGCTAGATGTAGAAAGTCATTTTTTGAGTGGTTATCCTGAACTTGTACCGGCCTTGTGGTTAAAGATGAGGTGGTGCGGGTTGCTACTGTAGGACTGAGCCAGAAGCAGGTGATGAGGAGGCTGAAGAGAGCTGAAGATCTGGTCTTTTTTATTTTATTTTGATAGTGACATTCTGATAATGCATAAGGTAGCATGGGCAGAGGCTTTCAATCCATGATGTACATGTTTTGTGTTCTTTATGTTATTTAGACAATAAATTTAAATATTTTATTAGGCTTTGAATTGCCTCCAGTTCTTCTAGACAAACAGACAAAAATAGCTGAGTGCAGCATCACCAAACTCTGATGCCACTGAGAACTGGGGGGACCTGTTTCAGGGGTATGTTATGTCCTGTATCCAATGGAAGGACGTAACTACTGAGATTTGGGGAGACGTTTGATGCCTGTTGAGGATGAAACTGTAAAATTTGAAATGATCGTATTCTAACAGCTGTTATTGATGTGTTTAAATAAAATCTGTTCTTTAAAACTCGTATGGCCGTCTATTATTTTAAAGTCGTCCTTCTGCAGAACACTTTATCACAAAGGTATTTTCCTCCAAGAGTGTTCCTGTTCTTTGAATCCTATGGCTTTTTTTTTTCTTCTGAAACTACATTTAAACAGGTTGAATATGTTGAGTGCCTTTTAAATAAATGCATACTTTTTAATATTTACATACAGTGCATCATAAAAACATTTGACAGACACTTAAGATTTGGACAGTGCATTTGAAATTAAATGTACTTGTTTTTCCCCTTTACACTAAAGTACATTTTCAGGTACTATACATCAGCACTATTGAAGCTGCTTCACATTAACTGGAAAATTTAGACTGGTATGACAATGCCAAATCAAGCTTCATTGTTTTAATACACCTTTGCATGGCAGTGGGTGTGTCCTAACAAAGGTGTTTAGTACAAATAAAAACTTGGCAACATTATATTTGTACTTGGATTACATTTCTGGTAATAAAACATGCATTACTTCTTGTTTTTCTATTAAATACTGTATGTTTTGCAAGACAGTTTGAGTAGGATCACTGAAAGACATTTGGCATTTTTGCAACACTAAGCTTTCAGTTCCCCTTGTGTTCAGTAGGTGGCAGTAATGTACTTTGCCGCATGTAGATAAAATCGGGTAATAAAGTGACTTTTTTTAATTAAGCGCAGTGTAACTTAAGTTAAAATATGCCTTTCAAAAATCTTGACTAAGATAACTGGAATATTTATAAAGAAATCATAAATGTGGCATTTCTTCTTGCCTTGCAGTTCCCCACGCTGCCAGCAGGGGGCAGAAACACGTCGCATGAGAACGAACCATAAATGCATTAAAAAAAAAATTTATAAACAGCTGAGCTGGTTTTTACATTATTATAAAAAATGTACCAAGAATGTTATCACGAACTATACATATACATCCTCCGTAAGATTATTTTACTTACCTAATGAGCTAGTCCCAGGTTCAGTCTCGCGGTATTTATGCGGCGATGGGTGTCACAGTCTGACGCTGCAGGCAGCTGCTGCTTCCTGTATTGAAACCAGCGGTCAGCGCGAAGCTTTGCAACGTTTCAGAGCCTCGCACAGCCTAAAGGCAAAACCTTAAAGGAGTTTTTTTTTTTTTAGAGAGGTCCACTGAGAAGTCTCTTGGCGTATCTGGGCTTGTTGTGTCGTGTGAGCTCGGGGACGAGGATCGCTGCACGGCTGAAAGACGCAGATTCTCACTGGAGCTAGCGAGAGCAGCTAGGTGGCTAATGGCTAGCAGCAGCAGGTAGAAAACCGAGCAGGAGCGGAAGAAAAGGGAAAGCTGTCACCTTCTAGAGTTCATAGATGAACTGGAAAAACTATCCGACTTTTGTAGGGCATGTCGGAATGCTACGTTTGACCACATCAGCAAACTGACATGCTACAAAAAGTGTGTTAACTTTGCTAACGTCAACTAGCCAAGTTACTAGCTGCCATCGAGCGGATCCTGTTGCTTTTTTATTTATTTTATTATTATTATTATTAGACGGACTTTTTTGAACACGGGCAGTTTATATAAACAGCTGCCCTGCTTAATTAAATAGTGTTTTACCGAGGCGGTCGTTTAGTTTGATTTTTGCAATCATGGCTCCAAAGAGAAGACCAGTTCCTTTGAACATTACGCCCATTGGGGAGGGACAGGCCACCTCCAACACCATTGATGCTGCATCAGAGTAAGAGCCGTCATTCTGAGTCAAAATGACTGTCTTACTCAGCAAATGTTTTAGTTGTTTGCCAGTATACGTGTATTTCTATGTACAACGCTGTTTAACATTGCCTCTCAGGTGGTTCATACATCTGTATATTCCAGCTGTTTCTTCATCTTCTGTGAAAACGTGTTTCCTCCCAACAGAGCCAACCTTGAGGCCTTACAAAAGAAGCTGGGCGAGCTGGACCTCGATGAACAGCAACGGAAACGTCTAGAAGCCTTCCTCACCCAGAAAGCCCAGGTTGGGGAGCTGAAGGATGAAGATTTTGACCCGATTTGTGAGTTGGGCGCTGGAAACGGAGGAGTGGTCAACAAGGTCCGCCACAAACCCTCGGGTTTGGTCATGGCCCGGAAGGTGAAGATTTTTGTGCGAGTGAAGTGAAACGTGAGGGTTTGCTTGACAGATGATGATCCAGGTGTTTGTAGTTTAGTTACAACTTATAATTATTGTTCCGTGAGGAAAACCTACAAAGAAACCCTCTTGACTCACAAAGATCAATTCTTACTTGTTTTACGTTAACACGAGCTCATCTGCAGCTCTTTGGTGACCATAAAACACAAATTGTAAATGTTTAGAGTGGTCCAGCACCAAAGATTAACAGAAACTGAAAAATATGTATCTGCAAATTGCTTACATCATAAATCTTGACTTGTACTTCTGTAAAGAGCAAGAAAAAATGAGGAGGAAAGTATGCAGGAGTTGTATCTGAGGTGATTTACTGGCAGTGCTTCAGCCACATAGTTTGTTGTATTCTGTTTATTTTTCCACTAAGTGATGTCTGGCTCGTTGCACGTTTTGACCTCATCCCTAACATAACAAACCTAAACCAACTTAAATGATGAGAAAACTCTAAACCTACTTGAAAAATTCATCAGTTGATTGAAACCTTTTGTCAAGGGGAGATAACATAAGTTATCCTTTTACAGACTCCTGCAGCAACTCAAGCAAGTTCACACTTGTAGGATCTCTAAAACTGTGTGTTCAAATGTCAGCTGAAATTTTCTCCTGCGGTTTTCAGAGATTGTGTGAAACAACTTTTAAATTCTTCTTCTTCTTTCGGCTTTTCCCTCCAGGCGTCGCCACAGCGAGTCATCCTCCTCCATCTCTGTCCTCAGTCCATCTACCTCCATGTCCTCTCTAACTGTATCCATACATCTCCTCTTTGTCTTTTTCCCAGCAGCTGCATTTCTAACATCCTTCTACCAATATTCCCACTGTCCCTCCTCTGGACATGTCCAAACCTTCTCAGTCTGGCCTCTCTAACTTTATCTCCCAGTTGTTCAACCTGTGCTGTACCTCTGATGACCTCATTCCTAATCTTCTCCATCCTTGTCACTCCTAAGGAGAACCTCAACATCTTTATTTCTTCCACTTCCAGTTCTTTCTTCGGTCTTTCTGTCATTGCCACTGTCTCCAGACCATACAATATAGCTGGTCTCACCACTGTCTTGTAAACTTCTCCTTTGACCTTTGCTGACACCCTTTTGTCACAAATCACTCCTGAAACTTTTCTCCATCCACTACATCCTGCCTGGACTCTCTTTTTCACCTCTTTACCACACTTCACATTTTCCTGGACAGTGGACCCCAAGTACTTGAAGTCCTGCACCTTTGTGACCTCTGCTCCTTGTAGCCTCACTGCTCCACCGGCCTCCCTCTCATTCACACACATGTACTCTGTCTTACTACAAATTACTTTCATACCTCTTCTTTCAAGTGCATACCTCCACCTCTCCAAGTTCTCTTTCACCTGTTCTCACCACAGATCTCAATATCATCTGCAAACATTGTAGTCTACAGGATTCCTGCTTGACCTCATGTTAGTCGGTCCATCACCAGAGCAAACAATAAGGGGCTCGGAGCCGATCCTTGATGCACTCCCACCTGTCCCTGAAGCTACTTTTTTTTTTTTCCTTCCATTTACCCTTTATTTATACAGGTAGTCTCATTGAGCTTCGAGAACTCCTTTTTCAAGAGAGACCTGTTTAGGGAGCAGATGGGGGTTAAGGGCCTTGCTCATGGACCCAGAGTGGGGCGAATGAGGGTGGGAGCAGGTGTGGGTGCTTCACCTACCCTACCCACATTTTTGATGTTGTCTGTACCGGGGCTTGAACCAGCAATTTTCCGATCACAGGCCCACCTTCTCTAACCTCTGCGCCACCCCTCCCCCCACTTCTCTGCCACTCCAGATTTCCTCATGGAGTACCACACCTCCTCCCTCGGCACTCTGTCATATGCTTTTTCTAAATCCACAAAGACACAAGGGAGTTCTTTCTGACCCTCTCTGTACTTCTCCCATCAGCATCATCAAGCAAAGATGGCATCTGTGGTGCTCTTTCTTGGCATGAAATCATACTGCTGCTCACCTCTCATCTAAGTCTTGCTTCCACAACTCTCAGATCTTCGTGTGGCTCATCAACTTAATTCCCCTGTAGTTGCTACAACTCTGTGCATCACCCTTGTTGTTAAAAATGGGCACCAGCACACTTCTTCCTGAGGCATTTTCTCACCCTCAAACATGCCATTGAATATTTGAGTCAAAAACCTCACTGCCATCTCTCCAAGACATTTCCAAACCTCCATTGGTATGTCAGCAGGTCCTAGTGCCTTCCCCTTCTTCATTCTTTTCAGATCTTTCTGGACTTCACCCTCACTAATCTTTCCCACTTCCTGGTCCACAGTTTCCATGAACTCTATTCTTCTTTCTCTTTCATTCTCTTCATAGTGTCCAGCTTCCCATACATCTCATCATGTCTTCTGCTTTGCCTTAGCTACTTCCCTCTTTGCTCTATGCCCCATCTCCTTATATTCCTGTCTCCTCTCTTCAGTCCAGTCATATTTCTTCTTGGCTAATCTCTTTGAATAGCTTCCTGTACTTCACTATTTCACCACCAGGTTTCCTTATCATCCATTCTCTGTCCAGATGACACATCAAGTACCTTCCTACCTGTCTCTCTAATTACTGTTGCTGTAGTAGTCCAGTCATTTGGAAGGTCTTTCTTACCAGCCAGAGCCTTTAACAGCTCCTCTCTGAATTTCTCACATTCTTTTTTTTTTTTTCTCAGGTTCCACCATTTGGTCTTCTTCTCTGATTTTACTCTTTCTTTTCTTCACAACAACAGTCATTCTACACACAACCATCTGATGCTGTCCGGCTACACTCTCCCCTGCCACAACCTTACAGTCCCCAATCTCCCTCAGTTTTCCTCTTCTACACAGAATGTAGTCAACTGCGTACTCCTTCCTCCACTCTTATAGGTCACTCTGTTTTTCTCTCTGTTGGAAATAGGTATTGACTATAGCCATTTCCATTCTTTTGGCAAAATCCACCACCATCTGTCCTTCCTGGTTTCTTTCCTTGAAACCAAACCTACCCATCACTTCCTCATCCCCTCTGTTTCCGTCACCAACATGTCCATTCAGGTCTGCGCTGATCACCACTCTCCTCCCTGGGAATACACTCTCTCACTTCATCCAGATCCTTCCAAAACTGATCTTTCTCCTCCACATCACATCCAACCTGTGGAGCATCACCACTGAGGACGTTTAGCATAAATGACACAACCCTCACCATTTAGCCTAAATGGTGAGGGTTGTCAGGAAGAGCATCTGACATTAAACACGTTTGCCAAAACTATAAGAGTTCATCAAAGTGAAACAACTTTAAAATATGGGAACTTAATTTACATTATAGTGAGACATTCTGGTTGTATAAACATTGGTATGTGCATGTTGAGATGCGTTAATATTTCTTTGTTTGGGAATGATATATGACTGAACATCAGTTGATGGTTTTTTCTTCCCTTCAAAGTTAATCCACCTGGAAATCAAGCCTGCCATCAGAAACCAGATCATCAGAGAGCTGCAGGTGCTGCATGAATGCAACTCTCCCTACATCGTGGGCTTCTATGGAGCCTTTTACAGCGACGGAGAGATCAGCATCTGTATGGAGCACATGGTGAGAGGCTCTTCACTGGCAGCAGTATCTCTTAAGCTTTCTTCAGACTGTGGTTATGAAGCATTAATGTCTTTATCAATATTCAAACTCTGGTCACTTCTATAGAACCACTTATAGAGTCATAGTTTTCTAACAACTCCATGTTGTATTGCAACAACAAATTATGGCAAAGATGAAGCACCCCAGGGAAATCATCAGTTTGAGAAAAAACACCGTCTTTTACATCCTTTGAGTAAAACAATGTTGTCTAACACCATTACAAAACAAGCCAGAATTAAATAGTTTCAAACCAAAGGTCAGTTTCAGTCAAACATTAACTCCAGTCAGATACCTGACGCCTTTTCTTGGTTGCAAGTTCTTCAACAAGAGTTTCATCGGTCTCATTTGTCGCTTTTCTGCATCAAAATCAAAGATTACGGGAAAATTTTTAATTTTCCTTCAAAGTTGGCCAACTGTCATGCGGAGGCTGCACTAAACAAAGTATGTTCAGCTTTTAAATGAAATGAGAAGCGATAAAACTATTTTACTTTTAAAGCATCATCTTGGATGCCAGATAAGATCTTGACAAGGGCCATATTTGTTCCTCGGACCTTGAGTTTGACACGTAGAGTAGATTATCTATCATTGTGGTCGTATTTGAGATGAAGCAACGGTCCTCGGTTAGTTTTTGTTTTCCATAACATATTTTTTGCTGTAATAAATCAGATCAAGCTAACAGCATTTACTAGTGTCGTCTAGTTTACCAAAGTTGATAGAATTATTTATAGTCGGACTTGGAGCAGAAGCTTCTGCTGCAGTTCAAATGCTTTTAATTTTACTTTTCTTTTATTTGGCCCAGTTGATTAAAAATCTATGCTTGCATTTAATTATTTTCTGGATCTAATTATACAAGTGTTAAAAGGACAGTTTTTATTTTAATACTATTTCTTGTGTTCCTCTGTACAGTAAGGTATATGTTAAATAATCCCTGGTAGCTGCTGAGCTTTCCTGTGTGCTATTGTTGCTTGTGTGTTTCACATTTGATTCTTGCTGAGATTTGATTTGGACATATGTCAAGTCAAATTTAGTCCGACTACTGGAGCTAAATGTTGCAGAAAAGCACGGGCGTACACGTTCAGATAGATCTCTCATTCAGCTGATGCCAGTTTAATGGAAGTCAGTTCATGTGTGTTGCGCTCTGTTGATCTGACTGGGAATATGTTTTATTTTGTGTGTAGTAAGAAAAATAATATGAAACTGTTAAGTACCAGCAGCACGGTGGCGCAACTGGTAGAGCTGCTGCCTCTCAGCGAGAAGGTCCTTGGTTCAAACCCCGGTCCAGGGGCCTTTCTGGGTGGAGTTTGCATGTTCTCTCCGTGCATGCGTGGGTTTTCTCCGGGTACTCCGGTTTCCTCCCACAGTCCAAAAACATGCATGTTAGGCTGATTGGTAACTCTAAATTGTCCCTAGGTGTGAGTGGGAGAATGAATGGTTGTTTGTCTCGTTTGTCTCTATGTGGCCCTGTGATGGACTTGCGACCCGTCCAGGGTGTACCCCGCCCCTCGCACAGTGATTGCTGGACATGGGCACCAGCGACCCCCGTGACCCAAAATGGAATAAGCGGGTAAAGATAATGGATGGATGGATGTTAAGTACCATATTTTCTGCCATACACATCGCACCACCCTATAAGTTGCATCAGTCCAAATATGTCTAAAAATGTGGAAAAATCCGTAAATGCGTCGCTTTGCCGTATAAGTCGCATCTATTTTGCGTTCACCGCTGACAACCTGAAAATGTGGGCTGGTGTTGTGGCAGAAATCAATTGGCTGCCAAATGGCGGTCGCTGGAGTGTGCACGGGAGGACTTTAACAAGAATTTAACAAGATTAACACTTAAAAACATTTGTTTGCTCGAAATTATAGCAAATGTGTCTCAGTCTAACTTTTATTTAATAAATTAACTTTGACGGTCAAATCAGCTGCATTTCAAAACCCAATTCGCAAAAGCGGGTACGCGCAGAGGGATGAGTCGCTGTACATCTCTTTGAAATTTAACAAGACTAACACCTAAAAGCAATTATTTGTTTGCTCAAAATTATAGTAAAGGTGCGTCTCGGTCTAACTTTTGCTTAATAAATGCACTTTGACGGTCAAATCAGCTACATTTCAAAATAATTTGCTGCCTCAGTGCTCTGGGAGCACACAGACGGGGAGGAAATCATGGAGGAACGCTGCGCATTTCTTCGAAATTCAACAAGATAAACACCTAAAACAATTTTGTTTGCTCGACATTATAGTAAAGGTGTGGCTCAGTTGAACTTTTACTTAATAAATGCACTCCAATGGTCAAATTTAGCTGCATTTCACCGGGGCGGTGCAGTGAAATGAATCTGATTTGATGGTTGCTCCAAGCAGCGAGCAAAACAAAGGTGGAAGTCTGTGGCGAGCAGATCGTCTTTAATAGCCACTTTTACCTACTACATGATACAACGGCATGCCATACAACTTGATTGCCATCTAGTGGCTGAAAATGGTAGTGTTCAATATGTTCAGTCAGAATGAATGAAAACGGTCATATCAGACAAAATTGGTTTATAAATAGGTGAAAAAATCCATATACACGTCACTTTGGCATATAAGTCGCAGGGCATGAAAATTGTGCAAAAAATGCAACCTATACAGCGAAAAATACGGTAGTTGATTAAAAATAAATCATTGTTTTTACAAATGCAGTCTTAGTCTTTTTTTTTTTTTCTGTCTCTACAGGACGGTGGGTCATTGGACCAGGTTCTCAAAGAAGCCAGAAGAATTCCAGAAGAAATACTTGGGAAAGTTAGCATAGCTGTAAGTTGACTTTATGGTCCGTGTTTCTCTGTGTGTGTCTGCAGCTTGAATTTTTCTTAGATTCTTGGACTAGTTGGGTTTTAATTGCAGTCGTGAGTTCCATTTTTATTTGGCAGTGCTAAATAAATTCTTGTGGCTTGTTGCTGAACATCAGCTGTACACGTTGTTGCAAATGCATTGTGCATTAATGGGTGTGTGTCTTTGTGGTGTGGGTTGACTAACAGAGAGATCAGCTCAGTCATGCATCAGTAACGAGTAGAAAGACTGCTCTTTCTTACTGACCTTACTCTTGCATCAAGTTTATTTCAGTAGTACATGCCAGAAAGATTTCTTTAATATATACTATATCTACAAAAGAACACTTCTTATATGTATAGACTTTAAATATGACTGTAATGTGAGTTTTTCAAATGAATTTTCTTTCATTTACAGGTGTTGAGGGGATTAGCTTATCTACGAGAAAAGCACCAAATCATGCACAGAGGTAACTGAACTCTTTGGTTTCACTCAGAAAATCTCTGCTACATTTTCAGCCCCTGCAACCCAAGAAATTCTCATTATAGAAAACTGGTTAGAGACTTTCAGACATAATTGGTTGTGATGACAACCAGGACGCACGCTTGCAGTCAGATTATTTATATCATTACTGTATATTAAAGGTTGACTTTACAATCAGGGATATAAAAAAAAAACCTGTGGCACTTATCCAGGAAGGTGTTTGAAACATAAAACTGTGTCTTGTGCTGGTAGCTAGAGGCAGATTTTTAGGTGTGATGATAATGGAGGCTTTTATTCTATTATTTATTATATGCATCTGAATCAATATGTGCAAGAGTTTTTTCACCTGCACCACATGTCGAGTAGTATTTTAGTTTCACAAGTTTCCAGGAGACGGTGTTTGGAGCACCAAGTCAAACTGTGGCTAAGTCTAAAGGCGGACAAGTTTTTCAGCATTGCATGTGTGTAAACGGTGCTTGTGCTAGTAAAGGGAGCAGTCAGACTGGCGTTTAGAAATTTCACTCTGCTTCAGGGTCGGTGTTACTCCTGGATAAAGTTGTCTGTGAGCTCAGGAGGTAATTGCAGCCTCTCATGTGTGATTATAGAGCAGCCGAGTCCTGCTGACCCTCCCTCTACGTTTCCCTCCATCGTTCTCCCACTCTTTTACACCACCTCTTTTCTCAGTCGCTTACATGTCCCATACCCGCCACACAGAGAAGACTGCAGGGCTCGGCCTTAAACCCTCATTTTGTAGGATGTTTTTCAGTGATGAATTGCCCACGTGGAGGAATTGTTTATAACGAGCTCAACAGGATCTGGGTTATTTCTTTCACTCCCCTCATGGCACACTAGATTCTTAAGATTTTTAATATGTAAGGTGGTGTTGCCTTTCCATCTGAAACATGTTATTCCGAGTGAATCTATAGTTGCGCATACACACATTCAGATCCCTACATTTATGACATGTTGCTTCAAAATCACAAGCTGACGCATCTCACAGTCTTCTCAGTAGGGAATATGGTTCATCCCCAACTCATTTTGCAACAAGCTCAAACATTTCGAAGCTTCAGGGTCTAGAAGAACAAGATTTAAACCTTATCTCAACACAAAGTCACTTAAGCTTTAGATAAAGAGGCTTAACCTACTGAGAAAATGCGATACTTTTTTTTATATATATATATAAAGTAACAATCTAGATTGGGAAATCGTGCAAACTGTTCAACTTTATGAAGTTAACGGGTAAAAACGTTTTGATCGTAGCCCGTTTTTATTATTACCTCAACAGCGTATTGGTTCTTGTTTTTGGATTTTCCTTTAGCTATGTTTCTATAAATGATGGGATATGGTGTTGGTTCACGTTTCTTTGTAAATGCAACATTCATTTAGTTGTTTTTGTCCCGTCTCCAATGTAGATGTCAAGCCCTCCAACATCCTGGTCAACTCCCGTGGGGAAATCAAGCTGTGTGACTTTGGTGTGAGCGGCCAGCTCATAGATTCCATGGCCAACTCCTTTGTTGGAACGCGCTCCTACATGTCGGTGAGTCAGCTTTGCACGCCTGTGCCCCCACCTCTCCTCTTCTGGCCCTATACCCACTTTCCCTCTCAGTTCTTGTTCACTGGTCCCACCCTCTGCCTTCCCTTCCCCTGGCCCACCCTCACTCCCCTGCCAAGAAGCAAAGGCACTGTTCTTTGGCAGTGAAGGAGTGCATGCACTTTCTTGTACTTGCATTCCCTCAGTTTGAGACACCTGGATGAAGTACCACAAGCTGCTCGTCTTGTTCCATTCGCATCCTTTTCCAAAGTATCTTTGGTGTAGTACTGGGCTTTTCTTTTTTTCATTGTAAGCATACTCGCCCTTCCATCTAAAATTGTCTCCTTCCTTTCTGCCAAAGACACCCAACCTTTTGCTGTAACACCCCCTCCTCCCTCTCCTTTTCGTGCCTTCCCAGCCCTTTGCCCAACCCTCTCCCTTTCCTTGGCATGTTGGCTCTACCTGGTCTCTCTGACGTCGTTGTGTTTCTCAACAGCCGGAGAGACTGCAGGGCACTCACTACTCTGTTCAGTCTGACGTGTGGAGCATGGGCCTGTCCCTGGTAGAGCTGGCGATTGGCCGCTACCCCATCCCCCCACCAGACGCCAAAGAGCTGGAGGCAATCTTCGGTCGTGCTGTTATGGACGGGGCTGAGGGAGAGGCTCACACCAACATGCCTAGGCCTAGACCACCAGGCAGGCCTGTGAGCGGTAAGAGATTTAGACGTTTATAAACATGTACAGCTCATGAGTGATTTTAAATATGATTTGCTATAAAATCTTAATGCAACTTGTTCGTAGGACATGGGATGGACAGTAGACCTGCCATGGCCATCTTTGAACTGTTGGACTACATTGTCAATGAGGTCTGGAGAAAAAAAAACTGGTTTGCACAGCAGGAGTCCAAACTTTAATTTGTTCTACTACTGATGTTTTCTTTCTGCTTCTCCCACAGCCACCCCCTAAACTGCCACACGGCGTCTTCACCAGTGACTTCCAAGACTTTGTGACTAAATGGTGAGCCCTGGAAACCACTTCTAAATAATGAGAGTATTGGAAATACTTTTATACATTGTGGGTGAACCTGGTACATTACTGCAGTAGTTTTTTAATATGTACATATACACATTTGAAGTGAAAAGTTTGGAATTTTATCTTAAGAGGGTTGCTCATTGTGTTTCAGACTTATATTTGGTCATATAATAAAATAAACTTTTATGCTCACTTTTTGCATACACTGTTTCGATGAGTGAATTTTAAAAGATCTTTCAGTTAAATTCAATTCAGTTTGTTTATACAGCGCCAAGTCACAACAGAAGTCCTCTCAGGGCACTGAACAGAAACATTCAGATATACATAAAATAAGTTAATAACATTATTTATCTATTTTCATTAACTGGTATTATTTGTGTCTGCAGCTTGATTAAAAACCCAGCAGAGAGAGCAGATCTAAAGATGCTTATGGTGAGTACCTGATCTCTTTTTTTTTTTTCTAGCAGGTAATTTGATTTCCACATTTCTTTGTTTCTGTGTTGACGATGACCGTCTCCTTTCGGTTTCAGAGTCACACGTTCATCAAGCGATCAGAAGTGGAGGAAGTAGACTTTGCCGGTTGGTTGTGCAAAACCATGGGTCTCAACCAGCCCAGCACTCCCACTCGGGGTACTGAGTGACCCCCGCCCCCCTTACTCTGACACATTTCTGGGTCTCTCTTCATACATATTCAAATACTGTGCATACATGTACATGGTCCACACTGCATGTTGGCACTTTTTTTTTTTTTTTTTCCATTTGGCTTTTGGGTAAAACATTTTTAGCTTCCTTTAGGTTTCTTCGTTAGCAGCAGCAGCAGGGTCCGTTGAGTCATTACTGTACTGTAAGGCCACATCTTCACCACGACAGTGTCAATAGCAGCCTCGGCTCACATTTTCACACTGCTATAGAGGATGTAAAGCACTGAAGGGCTGCCGTTGTATCAGAATTTGCATTGGCAAACATGTTTTGTATTGTTAATCGCTCTGTATTAGTCATTTCTACGGAGGCTTGTGGGGTGGTATTTTTATTAACCTGCTGTTTAAATTGGATTGAAAGTGAGAATCAAATAATCCAAATCTGTTTGAAAACTAAATTTATCTGAGGTGATTGAAGACGCTTTAAATAAAGTAAAGTTTGTCGCATGATGAGATGCTCTTACAGAGAGAGAGCTCGTCACCTCTAGTATGATTGGGGTTTCTGACCAAACTGCAAGGATTTATTTTCACCTGTCAGTAAATGAGTGATCACTCAATAAATCATTTCGTGAACAGTGTCACAAACCAAAGAAGGTACTCCTGACTATTACTTCAACCGCTGGTCGTCTTTAAGTTTTTGATCAGTATATATCAGTGTATTTTTGAATGTTCTCAGTTACCTTCATGACAATTGTGTGGAGACCTTTTTTCCCCCTTGTCATTTTAATAGACCTCTTATATTGTCTCACACTAGGGATGCATATCCTTGGGAGGCCTGAGTATATGCCAGAATGTCTTTGACATAGCGAGGCAACAACAATCAAGATGTATTTATGGGATGGTATAGCATGGTTTAGTATGTATATTTCTCAAGATCATGATGGGGCTGAGCTGGTGTTTTGTTTTGTTTTTTCTTCTTTTTTTTTTTAAGCCTAAATCTTTGCAATTTTGATGCATTTTCAATTGTGTTGATTAATTTAGCCTGTGTTTTCTCTTTATTCTTGGTCTGTATTTGGTTGTTTTTCACTGAACCTCTACATGTAGCACTCCAAGCTTTTCGTTGGGACACAACAGACTTGGAGGTCTGCTGTTAAAAAAAAAAAAAAAACACTTTGGTTGAAATACTGTTAAACACGCTTTCTTGTGATACTCCCCCCACCAAAAGCGCCAAAATAAAATAATAATGCAGACTTCCGAGTGCAACGTCAGACCCGCCAAGTGGTACAAAGAATCTAACAAGAATGTAACCCAGGTCAGTGTTGGTCACAAGGTGGTGGTGTTTCCTGCTAGCCTGCCGTCTTGCTAGAGCTCCTGTATTCTCTGCTTATGGCTGCCCTTTCTTATCCCCACCCCGAATTGTGCATTCTTAAAAAGTAAATGGATGCATTGTCACTTGTATGTGTACAAAGCTATAAACAAAAGTTACATGTACTATTTTGCAGTCTTAATATACAAAATATGATTTTATGTAAATGACAGGGGGAAGAGTCATTTTATTATAATATAAAATGTGTTGGAAATGGTTATAATGTATAAAAGATTGAAATAAAACTTATTTGTGAATGTACATGTTTTTTTTCCCCCTGATTGAGTATGAATAGTAATTTTGCAGAGTTTGAACTGGAAAGCAGTTGAGTTTTGTCACTCATAACCTGATGTGGTTGATTACAGGACAAACGTTTGACAGCTGACCATGAGTTTGTATCTTATTTAGGGGGTTTAGCATCAAAAGTAGTAAATGTCACTAAAATCCAAGTCAAACGTGAACATTATGGCTACACTTTAAGTATGTTGCTGTAAATCTTAACCTAAATAGAAACATAAAAAAATGTTGCATTTATTGTGCGTGGCTACAGGCAGTCAATATGGAGTGTGGTTCAAATCCCCAGAATGCCTTTAGAGCCCATTTACTAAGTATCATCAATATCAATCCAGTGGATGTAAATATACCAAACTCTGCTATTCTGGAGACATTTTTGCAACTTTTAAGGCATTTTTTTTCTGTGGGACAACTAGCAGTACTGTAACACAAAACTGTTTTTGGCCAATAGGACTTTGATTGAGTTATCCATCTGTTGACTTGTTTGTTATAGCATCTAAAGCCAGCGGACTTGGGTCGGTCACAATTCATGGAGTACACTCTGGACAATGACCAGCACAATTATGTTGACCCTTTCAACATGTGTTTAAAATCCCATATTTACCTCAAATCCTAGAGGAAATTGTAATTACATTTTTCTTTTCTATGGAAATGATCCGTTTTTCAAGAGTAAAATTCTAATCAAATGTTACGCACGGAAACTGCTCTAGGCTATCTGGATGTGTAGAAAAAGCTGCTGTTGCCGCTGGGACCAAAAATAAGGGTTTTATTCTCATTGAAATTTAGGAAGTTTAAAGCCATCCAAAGTCTTTACCTCAGTAAGGCAGTCAAACAGTGGTTTGAGTAAACTGAGAAGGATTGTGCTTCTAATGTAGGTAGATCCGAGTGTCAGTTTTGTAGGAATAAAACGAGATGTTACATTTTCTAAAAATGAAGCCCAAGGGAAGCATGCTGATGGAAAATAAAATGGGTTCCAGAATAGATCCTTGGGGAACGCCACATGTGAGGCATGAAAAGGAGGGAAAAAAAATCTCTTGGGCTCATAGGGAAACTCCTGTCAAACAAGACCTGAACCACTCAAGTGTTGAACCTTCAATCCCAAATTCTTCCAGCATGGAGATCAGAATTAGGGAATTAGCTGTGTCAAAGGCACCTTCCATCCATCCATTATTTTTTACCCACTTCTTCCTGTTTGGATCATGAGGGTCACTGAGGCCCATATCCAGCTATCACTGTGCGAGAGGCGGGGGACACAATGCACAGGTCTCTAGTCCATCACAGGCCACGTAGAGAAACGATACAACCATTCACTCTCTCACTCACACCTAGGGACAATTTAGAGTTACCAATCAGCCTAACATGCCTGTTTTTGGTCTGTGGGAGTAAACCGGAGTGCCCGGAGAAAACCCACGCATGAACGGAGAGAACATGCAAACCACCCAAAACGATCCAAAGCACAGATTCGATCCTGCAACCTTCTTGCTGAGAGGCAGCGGCTCTACCAACTCCACCACAGGCTGAAAAAGGCCACACGATTTGCTCAGTTAGATAAACTGTGAAAAGATGAATTTCAATAGTAAGTGTTCTTCATAAAACTCCACAATGTTTACTTTTTAACATTCCTGTTTGCATAAATGTTTTGGAAGATTTTGTTGCTCTGAACAGATGGTAATGTTATGCTGCAACAGTAGCATAGATTTGAGTCGTCTAAAGATTAGAGATGGCGGCATGTCATGGTGATGCAGTTGGTAGAGCTGCCGCCTCTCAGTGAGCAGGTTGACCGGTTCAAATCCCAATCGGGGATCTTTTTGGGTGGAGTTTGCATGTTCTCTCCGTGCATGCGTGGGTTTTCCTCGGGTTTCCTCCCACAGACCAAAAACATGCATGTTAGGCCGATTGGTAACTCTAAATTGTCTCTAGGTGTGAATGAGAGAGTGAATGGTTGTTTGTCTCTGTGTCCCTGTGATGGACAGACCATCACAGGGTGGTGTCCCCCACCTCTTGCACAGTGACCCCTGCGACCAGAAGAGGAAGAAGCGGGTAAAGACGATGGATGGATGATTATAATAGTGTTTATTCTGTCCAAAAGGGTCCAAACAATCATTATTGTTTTGTTGTTATCAACACTGTTCTTAACAAGACATATAAAAACCTCTAAACAGCTAGCTCACAAAAACTTAGCAAGAACAGTGAACTTTAAACTCAGCTTTGTGAGGAAAATGCAGTTATCTTTTAATACGTCAATAAAATCTCACAGGGCTTCGTCACTGTAGACAGAATTTAAACCAACAGTCCCCGACTAGTTTATAATTGGTTTATTTTATTTGACTTCTTATTAAAACCTTTTGTTAGAAGGTTTTATGACAATGTTTTTACATAGATTACTGCTTACTGGGTTTTCTTTTGATTAGAATGATTTAAAACCATTTTTTCAGGCAGTAATTACAAATGCATATGAGATGTGGGCTGTCTGGCAGTGAAGTGCAGGGCCACCCTTACACTATAAATATGTCTGACATCATCTCAGACTACCATTGGCTGACAACAGCTTATATTGACTGTAGTTTGGTGCAAGACTCAGTGAAATTCATACTTTGTGAATACTATGTTTTGGGGACAAGCTGATTATGCATTTATAGTTTCTGTTTCAATCCTGAAATCCTGAGCCACACAATCGCACACACATACACTACAGTGCACACACGTGCCAAACTAAACAGCGCCCTCTAGGTGGACATTTCGTTACTGCATGTCCCCATGCAAACATCAAGCTCTGCACACTGTAGCTCAAAAAATTAAAGATTTAAATACAACAATGAGTTTGCTAATTATTTCTTCATATAAAGGTGCTTAAAATATTGTAAAGACATATTTCTCAAAGTTTTTTAATGCACAATGTTAGTTCAGATGATTTTGAAATATAATCAGTTCCTGACTACAAGCACATGGCAACTTTTGTAAATAATATATTATCCAATAGATTTTTTAAATTTAAACAACGAGTCATTTTAACTACTTTCTATGGCTTCAAAGTCAAACATTAAATAATATTGCACCTAAAGCAAAAGCATTTAGTCCAATTATTATTTTTAAAGTATCTTAATACAAAGTACATTTGGGGAAAAGGTAGTTTTGAAAAACTTTCAATCTGCACATTACCGTATTTTCTGGTGTATAAGTCGCTTCAGAGTATAAGTCGTATCAGTCAAAAAAAGCATCATGATGAGGACAAAAAACTGAAATAAGTTGCTTCGGTGTATAAGTCGCATTTATTATGTGTCACCGCTGACCCCCGGGAAACGTGGGCCAGTGTCATGCCACAAATCGATTGGCTGACAAAAAACGACCACGGGAGTGTGCACAGGAGGACTCGCTGTTTCAGTTCTTCAAAATTTAACAAGGTTAACACTTAAAAACTATTATTTGTTTGCTCAACATTATAGAAAATGTGTATCATGTCAGTTCCATATGAATGAACATTTAAAGCTTCAGTCAAAAATTGCGTCATGCATATGAAAAAAAACTTATATAAGTCGCAGGACTGGCAAATATATACAAAAAAAA